CGGGCCCGCACGGCCCCGCGGGCAGCGGGTGCGGGGAGCTTGTTGTGGGGTAGGAGACTCCTGGAATTATAAGGGTTGGAAGGGCCCTTAAAGTTCATCTAGCCCTAACCCCATTGCCATGGGTAGGGAGCCCTTGCACTAGACCAGGTTGCTGAAGGCTCCATCCAACCTGGTCTTAAAAAATAGGTAATCCACGGCTTCTTTGGGCAGCCTGTTCCGGTGTCTCACCATCCTCAGTTAAGAATTTATTCCTAATGTCTAACATAAATTGCCCCTCTTTCAGTTTGTACGCAGTCCTCCTTGTCCTACCACAACAAGGACAGATGCAGAGTCTCTCCAGCTCCCCTGTTGGCCCTTTCAGATGCTGGGTGGTTGCCATGAGGTCTCCACAAAATCATCTCCAGGCTGAACAGCCCCAGCTTGCTCAGCATTCCTAGGGGAGATGCTATAGTCTGAATTTGCTTCAAAACTTTCATGTCCTCCTTACGCTGGGGACACCATAAGTGTGCACAGTACTCCAGGTGGCTCCCACAGAGCAGAGTAGAGGGGGAAAATCACCTCCCCAACCCTGCTGGCCACATTGCTTTTGATGCAGCCCAGGACTCCACTGGTTTTCTGGACTAGGAGTGCACACTGCTGGCTCATGTTGAGTTTTTCATCAGCCATCACACCTTTCTTCCCAGTGTGGCTCTCAGTCACTTCTCCACTCAACATGTAGGTGTCTGGGATTGTCGCAATCCAGGCGTAGGGCCTCGCACTTTGCTTTGTTGATCTCCATGATATTTACACTGGCCCACCTCTCAAGTGTGTCAGGGTCCCTCTGGAGGACATCCCTCCAGGGTGTCAAATTATTGCAGTGTTGTGGTTTGTGACTCAGGCCCACTCTATTTTGTGACTTGTTACCTCTGCAGATATGAAGGCCATGGTGAGGTGGGTGCTGTGAGCCCACCCGCTCCTGATGAACCCTGGCTTGGTTTCTCACAGAGCTTTTTACCAGGCAGTGTGTCTTGCCCTAGCTCCAGGTGAGTCAGGCTGTGCTTTCAATGCCATGTTTGAGCCCCTAGCATGTCATCAGGGCAGAGCTGTTTTTAATTGATCTTAATGAGTACTTAACTCCAGCACAGTGGTGCCTCTTGGGTTGTTACCTGGTGTATTGCAAAGGAAGTATCACATAATTTAATTTGGTACACGCGTCCAAGCAAGAGTGCTTTGTCTCCCAGCTACTCCTTCCAGTCAGAAATTCTGTAATGATCACCAAAATTGCTGTTACTGGTCTCCTCAGGTCTCCAGCAAGGCTCCATGTTAAATGGTTACAGTAGAAAACAGAGTTGCTGACTTGTACTAGGTGGTAAAATATAATTCTAAAAGTACAGAAAATATGCAGATAATTGCTATGTAAGGTCCTTTTTTTATAATGCTTTAATATAAATTCTATGCATTTATAATAAATTTCAAATATAGAAATCTCTAAGTTTAGTATAGAATACATCTTGGTTGCTAGCTGCAGTGGCAGACAAGCCACCACACAACCCTGATTTCCACAAGAGACATGCCAGGATGACCGGCTTATAGGTGATTCATACACTTGCACACACCTGTGTGCAGACATACAGAAATGCAAATATATATACACATGTTTTATGTGCCTCAGACACCACGGTACTATTTTAAAATAACAATTTAAGCCCCAAATTTTAAGGCACTGCTTCTGTAGAAGAGGAAGCTACGCTCTTCAGGTTTCAGTGATGGCAATGTAGAGTGCCTTTTGGCATCCTTTTTCCTCACCTCAATCCTACAATTGGATGCAACTTACAGGAGTATTTATAAAGGTGCTTTCAGTAACCACTTTCTCAGGAAGTGTCCGACTCAAAGTTTGAATTTTTAATACAAAATACAATTGGAAACAAGACTATGAATAAGTTTGATGAGCCAGAAAACAGGTTAGGCATGAAAATGATTTTTTTGTAGTTTATCTTATGTTATTGTTTTCATTTTAGGTTTTGTACCTCTCATGCTATCCTCCCTTTTCAAATTAAATGAAGAGAGGAAATACTTGGAAGGCACAATTTATCTAACCCACTTAACTTAATAGGTTAATTTAACAAATTATCTAACCCCTTTTACATTAGCATTCAATCTATCACCTAAGAAGAGGAACATAATAGTTTCTATCTCTGTCTATTGTCAGCTATAAAGAGAAAGCAAGCAAGAGACATCTGTACAGAGGTCTGTGTTTGGCCAAATCATTCTTATCCTTTATTTTAATACTGTATGGAGGTTGAATTCTCTATCAGTGTGAAAGGTAGATGAATATGAAAAGTTTTTCTCTCAGTCCACTCATCTGCCAGCTCACAGAGGCTGGAACAGGTTGCTCTTAAATTTAGCATTGGCAAAGTTCTGTGTTTGGTCTAGTCTGCTGGGCTTATTGTATAAATCATAGGGATCCATCAATACCTCCAGGTGATCCAACATATCCCCTTCACTCCTATGATAGGTGCCTAAGGGGCATGGAAGTTGTCACTGTTTGGAGGTACATCTCTCTTCACTTGGCATAGACCATCCTCAAGCTTTTGGACAGGAAATAGGATGTGCTATGTGTGAAGACATCCTTAACAAGCTAGAGAAATTAAAAAACCAACTCCATCATTATTCAGAGGCTGCCCAATGGCACGTAGCATTTTAAAGCTGCAGAGAGACTAGTATTTATTTAAGGGGATAGAGGACATTGGGTGACAGTGTCCTTTTTGTCTAGGCTGCTGTCTCAAAGTCATGCTATGTGCATTCAAGATGTGCTCCAAATTACTGTCAAATTGTCATTCTACAGCCTTTGCAAAAATCGATTGATGATCTCTTTTTATTCAACAGTTATCTACATCTGGAGCTGACAGATAATTTCCAGCGAGCTATGGCACATGAACACTTTATACATATTTCTATATCCACATCAGCAGTAAAACTAAACATAGCCCAGAAATAGTCCACTGTGTTGAAGGGAAATACACTGGTAGAGCAGTACAGGAAACCTTCTCTTTGTAACATAAGGGTGAGACTTAGCTTCTGTGTGTTAATCAAAGCTTGTGATCACCAAATTAATGTCTTAACAGCATCCTGCTTCTCCTTCAGGATTTTCTCATTATTATAAGCAGTGGTATGTCTTGCTTATGAGTGGAAATCTTAACTGAAGTCAGTAGGAATATTGTTATTTCAAAAATAGGTATAGAGCATGGAAAGGCCATGTAAGTTGATGGATAAATGTGACTATGTCTGTGTCTATACCAAAGGCACATAAGGGAGTGATATGACTGGTGACATTTCAATTACTTTTGGCTTCCAAGACAGGTGTCTAGGCCTTGAGTCCACAGTCAGGTACTTTAACTCATCCCAAGGCACCATTATGATGACGAATTAAAATGTCCAGAGGGAAGCTTTCCACTGGAGGAGGTAAAGATCCCACACCAGCTATTGGTCATTGGCTCATTTATATTCTGCATTCACAAAAGATGTCCAGATCCACTTTTCCAGGCAAAGAGGTGGTTGGAAGAGCATTTGTAGCAGAAGGATTTATAGTGAGAACAAAGAATCTGCTGATGAAGCAATAAGGCTTACCTGAGCCTTGTGTAAAAACTTAGAAGACAGCCCCTACTGGAAACAGGGTAACACTTTAGTTAAGTTTGCAAACAAAGGAGGCCTGTGTTTCTATTTCTAACATATCATTTGAGAAAATGTTTTGTAAGTAAACAATTCACGCAGAAAACTAGCTGACTTTTAAGTCACCAGGTCCTGCTCCCAGCAGGGAACTGATCTGAATTGTGTTATCACTTTGCAAAGCTTTGTATGTTAAAGTGTTAAACTGAACTCTAAAAATAATGAAATCATTTTAATCAGTGAGTTATTTTTAATACAACAAACTTAGCCAAGTGCTAACTGCAAGGCAGTGCTGAGTGCTTATGCATAACACCATTGTCACTGGTGTGAGTTGTTCTTTCTGGCTTCCTCTGCATCCCACGATGTTAACCCAGCATGGAAAACATCTCACTGCCTTTTGGACCAGCATTACTGCTTTTTGATATGTGAAATTACATACATTCTTTGAATTCTTTGAAAGTATACTTACCCAATGAGACTGAATAAGTTTTTAGGTGTTTCCATGAGCCAGGCCTAACAATTCTTTGTCTGTTATGTTGGCTGGAACTCTTTTTTTGAAAAGAAATACTTTAAAAAAACCCTGTGAGTTTTTTTCCCATGTTACAATACTTTGTGTAGCATTCTCTCTTTCTCTACCGTACTTTATGAAAATCTGTATTGTGTAGTTGGTCATATTTACTGCATTTTATCTTTATTTTCTTGTATTTTATCAAAAGATAGAAGAATGTGCCACAGTACAAGTATTTGCTTAAATTTTATATGCTGTTAACTGCTGTGTTTCATCTGTGTCTCTGCTGCTTGTTACTAGTTCTTGATAGATCACATGTAATTTAGGCTATAGATTCACTGAGCAAGGGAGATGTCTTGCTTTTTCTCCTGCAAAGTCCTTAGTATACATGATTTATATATTTATAAATTATATGACAGTAACAGATTCAGCATTTGAATGGCTATGCACTGCCCTTACTGTGTAAATACTCCATGATACGTAATTAAGCTTTATGAAAAAAGCATAAAGAGTGAGAAAATACTGATTTATCAAAATACAGTATTACCATGGTTAAACATCTTTCTTCTTTCCTTTTTGTCTTTTTGCAGAAATATGAGCAGTAATCATAAAGCCTGGAAAGGATGTGCTGACTGAAGTCTTTATGAGATTTTTAATGAGGATTAGGAAATCTGAGATAGCAAAATCTACTGTATACAAAGAGGTTGTTGTGCATGAATCTTCAGACAAGTTTTAGATCAGAATCCTTTGTCAGCAACAGTAGGATCCAGTAAGGATAATATGCTAATTTTAACCAGCAATGGGCTTCATATAGAGATCTAAAGAGACAGAGATAGATACAATCTTATTAAGCTTTTGTGTTGACACTGCACAGCTTGTTACTGTATTCAATTGAAATTTAAGAGCAGGGCTGTAAAACCTATATAACATTTTAGGAAGGTATACAGTAACATTGAAACCTGAATAACAATTGAAAGAATAAGTAGGAAATTCCCTTAGCCCTTGGGCTACCACCATTTTTCTATTCTAGCAGACAAGTAAATGCTCTAGGTATCTATGCCATAAAAAATTTTCCCAGAGGCAATTCTGGCAAAGCACCTACTTTCTTCAAACCAGACCTGCTGCTTTAACCTTCTGAATGTCAGATTTCTAAAACTAAGTGCTCCTGGTGCACTGCTGGCTGTTTCTAGTCTAGGTTTTCCTTGAAGCCTGCTAGGAGTGTAGAGAGGTATCACAATGATATTGATTGGTAGTAATTGTTAATCAACTCAAGTATCATTTATTATGCCATTAATTTTTCTTTAGAAATTTATCAGTGATTTAATATTTTAATGTATAATGCCTGTATGAACTATCTGGCAGCAAGGAGCAGAGGATGGGTAGTTTGGAGAAAGATGTGTATAATGTCCACCCTGCATTTTTAGCACAAAAACCAGGGGAATATATACATCTGCAGTGCAGTACTTCAGTGTTTGCACATCTGAGTCATATTGATCTCAATAGAGATATGTCATTTAGCCACACAAAAATACATTGTCATCCTCTCATCAAGCATCACATAACCATTTTAAATTCTCTACAATACGTTCATATGACCAGAGATATTTTTATAGGTCAGCTGTGTTCCATGGCTAGAAAACGGACTGTGGCTCATCCACCACTGCCACATTTCACAATGGCATGATCAGTCAAATCAGAACTCAGCAGAGCTGAAGAGTTAGAGATGCTAAACAGTAAGATGATTCCACCAAGGGCTTAGAAACATGGAAAGCATTGAAAAGTACTGTGAAGTTCCTATTGCTGTTCAAATTGGATCAATGTTAGCATTGTTATCAGCAGCATTGAGTGCAGAAGCTGGAGGTGGTTCTTTGCAACTTAGACTTCTGATATGATTGATCAGATGGGCAAAAGTTTTCTTTCAGAAAAAATATCCACAGATGCAGGAAAACTGATTTCAGCCATGTAAATTTGCCAACAGTAAAACTATATGCTTATTTAGTATCTTTCTCCATTGCTAGGGATATCACATGTATGGAAAGTAAAATTGGTGGATCAAAAGACAACATAAGAAAAGGTATCTATAAAACGTTAAGGTTATACTATTAAAAAAAAAAAAAAAAAAAAAAAAAAGAAGAGGGAATATACAAAGCACTTTGAAAAGCTTATTTTGTGATGGAACAGTTCAGAATATTTATTAGAATTCAACATCCTATTTTTTTGCCTTCTTTTAAAACAAAATTCCTGAATTTTAGTGAAGGAAAGTCTGGAAAGTCTAAACATATTGCAAGCTTTTAAAAGTCATGGGAAATCTACCACAACTTGGGCAGTTAATGACCTAATGACCTCTGGGTTAACCTAATGAGTCCTCTTCAGCAAGCAAGGGCACAGAAAAGGAAGCTATCTTCTCAAACAGATAAGGTCAATTTGCCAGCAGAAATTATCCTCCTCTCAGAGTTGAGAATAAATGGTTTCCGGTTGTCCATCTGAGCTTGTCATTCAAGAATTTTTCCACACCGTAGAGCAAACTAGGGAAATGGATTGAGAAAGAGGGCTCATCTTGCTAGGGCAGGTGTGTAAAGCTGGCAAGAAGTCTCTAGTTTTGATCTTTGTGCTTTTTGTTTTGAGCAGATAACGTGTAAGTAAAGAAACTGACACTTCCCTAAACACATAATCTTGTAGCAGCCAATTTCGGGAAAGACTTAATGAGCTTCAGCTGCTTACTAGAAGCTTGTATCTACCTTCTTTTCCCTACTATACCAACAGATAGAACATACACTGTGTGTGTGTGCTTGTAAATTCTGTACGTGTAGACACACACTCAAGAAATACTTCTGATCTCCTTAATTTGTGGAAGTCCCTTAGGTGTAGATATACTACAAACACAAAATAGCACAGCCAAATGTCTGACCCAAGTATTCTCTGCTTAGTAATGAACTCGCTACAGCAATAGAAACAACTGGACTAAGTCATTTCTGAAGTTTGTATGGGTACTGTGTTGGCATTCAAATGACCAGAATATAAAATCTGTGGTGGGTCTGGGGGTTTGCCATTCTTGGCTAATAATTATACTGGAATTTTCTGCATGTCTTAGCGGGCTGGATGCTCTATTTCCATCTTACAGCTGGTTAGAAACAAGCAAGCTGTTAGTTACAAGTAAATTGGGTCAGTTTATTTAGATATCTCCTTTTATTTTGCAACCTTTTAACTTTTGAAATTTTAATATTTTCCTGCAAAAATCTGGTTGGTTTTCCTAATTGATAAAGTAGGTTCATGATCTAGGTAATGTTTATAAAGAGAGAGTTAATGGGAAGCAATATCAAACAACACAGTGTCATATTAGTACACAGAGGAATTGTAATGGGCAGAACATCTACATGTAAGTTCTCCATTCAGCATGGCCAGGAAGAAATACAGGAAAGTGTGAGTAAATGCTAGCTGATGCCAAACAAGAAAAACTAGACATAATTTAAATTCCTTTTCCACATCCATACATCATGATTGCTATGGAGAGGCCTTTTATAACATAATGGGAGGTGATGGTTCCTAGCAATAAAATTAGCAGCTCTGAGAAACTTGAAGTGCACAGGTATGTTCACAAACACAACTGCTTCACACACTGTTAAACCTGCAGGGTCTCTCATTTTATCAGCTGTGGGTTGATTCCTGGTATGTTAATGAAAACCTAGGTACAGTTTTCTTGATCAACATAAGGCTTATAACTTGTTACTTAAGCACTAAACAAGGTTTAGTTTTTTGAGCTGTTGCATCTGATACCTCAATTATTCAGCCTGGGAATTAATGTACAATTAGCATGAATTCCTGCTTTCATGGAAATCGATGGTTATATTAATTTGAATGCAATTGTTGAAAGAATTCTGAATAATGAAAAGGCTGATAATAGTGTCTTTGTATTGGACACAGCTCAGACTGTGTAAGGAACAATTTTTTTAAGGTAGAAATATCTTCACAGTTTATTTGTTCCATTGTCCCTTCAGATTCAGGCTATTAGGCACATGCCAATGACTTCTCCTAATTATGACCATTCTATAGTTTTTGACTAAAAGTATATATAAAAGAATTGGCCTGCTTCTATACTGATTTTTTGCACTTTGAAGTGACTGGAATTAACCCATTATTAAGTAGCATAAGGAAGAACTTAGGTAGGTCAGTTCTTCCTGGCGGTTTTTCCTCCAGCAGATCATGAGATTTGTCAGTGAGTTACTGGTAATGCAATTAATTAGTTTATCCAAAAAGCAAGGTAACAATGTGCAGTTGCTTAGAACACTGGAATATGTTTTTCAGGGCAGAGTGATTTCTTTTTCTTAGTTTTAAATAGAGCAGTTTCACGAGAAGAGTGGTGTTTGGTTTGAATCTGTTGGTTTGTTTTTTGGTTTTTTTTTTAATCTGTTGATTTCTCTGTTCCTGTATCAAAAACTTTACTTACTGTTTGGAGGACATAGCTAGGGATCACCAGTCCAAGCATGAAGCTGCAATGACATCTGCAGCTCCTGCATGGCTTTGGGATGCACTGAAAACTGCTTATGTACAAGCTGCCCACTCGCCTCCACACAGGGGACATCAAGTTACTTAGAATAACCAGCAAAATTAAACAGGACTGGGGGTTCTTGCTGCCTGCTGTTAGCTTCCAGTATTCATTAATGAAAGATATTTAGCACTGTTTATGAATTTTTTCCCTGTTGCATTATTATAACCCTTTAGACTGAGTGTTGGCTTATACCTGGCTTCCTGATGATCACTTATTCTGGACACATAGTTCTGAAGGTGGCATTGTTATTGACTGAACCTACTAACTGCTTGAGAAAATGTTGATTACTTCACGTACCTGAAAATTAATCCTGAAACCTTCCTGAACTATATTAATCAACTCCTTTAACTTCTTCTGCAGTGGAAAAGGTGGAGGCCAACAATGTCATCGAAGAGCAGGTGCTCCTCCCTGCCTCATTAGCACCTTGCCTTCTTCAGCTGCAAAATCCTCAAACCCAAGAAGGCTATTTATAGCTTTTACAAAGCTCCCTTGGCCTGTCCTGTGTCTGCAGCTAACCATTTGTCTGCCTCTTCCACTGTGTTAAATCAGCCCCTTGTGACAGCACCCTCAAGACACGCAGAAGCAACGACTCCAGAATGTCATGTCAGGTCTGAAGGAGATGGATGGCAGCTGGAATAGGGGACCAATGGGAGCATTTAAACACAGCAGCTACTGAGAGACTGAGTCAGAAATCAGGAGAATGAGGATGATCAAAGGGGAACATGAGGGCATAGGAGTGGGGAGGAGCAGGGACTCCTATGAATAAGAGCTGGATGTATCCCAGACAGAAGTGTAATGTCAAAATGCCTACAAAGCAGATGCTGGGAACAAATTACTTTTAATTTTTTAATATGCATATCCAGAATGTATTATCATCAGGCTGAGAGAGGGAACTTAGCCCTAATAATGGAAGCCATGCTAGAAAAAGAATTGGAATATTTTCTTCCCTGCATTTGTAATAATTATCTTCTGACAGTTATCCTTGCACAATGTCTCAAAATCAAATACTACTGTTGGATTGTGATGAGCAAGAATCTTTGTAGTTCTCTGTCTGCAAGGTATATCTCAACAGATATCCTTGTGGTTTCAGGATATTTATGGATGCTTTTTCCTTCCATAAGCAAGGCAGCACAGCCTGACTAGCCAAAGATACTACTCTCAAGCACCAGGCCAGCCTACACACTATACACACTGGATACTGGGAATAAGATTCAGTATTTCAGCTTGGAATGAAAAATCCTATGTTTCTAATAATGGTAGTGATGACCACGATGACAAGTATTTTTTTTATGACATTAAAAAGCAGGAACCTTTAAATGTTGATAGCAGAGGTGTGCAGTGCAAGTTAATTTTCAGCACACAGGAAATGTCTCTATACATACTCCTGCTTACAGAAACAGCTACACACACACACGCGTGGAAATCAAATGTTCTAGGTAATAATACCCAGGTTGGCTGCAGCCATCTGAGTGACCTTAAATATCTATCATTTATCTATGTATGCAGATGCTTCCCCATCACAAAGGAGGATTAATGATGTTACTTCACAGAGCTAATGAGAGAATGAACCACTTAATGTTTGATTCACAAGAGCTGTAAAGCATTATATAGACACTGTTTGTTTTTAATTCCTCCCTCTATCATTCTGGCTAATAGGTAGTATTTTTCATATTCATACCATTATTAAAATCACATTATATTTCCTAGATAATCCAAATCATCTTTCTGATACCCTATTCCTTGCTTCTTTTCCATTTAGCATTTCTTTTTCAGGCTGTGTGGGTTGCAGAATCTCAGTTCAACAATATGCATTGGTTATAGGATACAGGCAGTATCTCCCCTTCCCCCAAGAGTCACAATCAAAGTGCTTTATTCTCCTCTTACAGTACCTAATGATCTCTGATTTTTCTTCAGTTTCAGGATCTCATTCTTGAGAACCAGTTTACTCTTCTGGATGGAAAGTGTTTAAAGGATCTGCCTCAGAGTTTTCCCTCCCACTTCTATAAAGCTGAAAGAGGTCATTCTCAAACAGTCCACATTTGGATAGAGCATACATGCTTTTCTGTCTGGTTCTTGCACCGGCTAAACAACATAAAAAAACATCATCTTCAAATGATATGAAGCATCATGTGTCATTTCTTTCTTATTTAATACTGGGGGACTTAGGATTTTTAAAATATTTTTACAGAGTCTTAGAACCACCTGTATAAAAGTTGCTTCATCTTCAAAAAAGACAGATCACCTGTGCACGCCTGTGCTTGTTAAAATAAAAGGTAGCAGAAATTACACACTTATGATACAGATAAGAATTCTGACCTATGATCTTCTGCTTCTTTTTTAAATTATTTTCTCCAGTAAAATTTCTGGTTGTCAAATTCATACATTCCTTGAAAAAATCAGGCTATGTCGTGTCCTATTGTAAGCGTAAGAGTTCTATGAACATAGCTTAACGATGAGGCAGGTTCTGTTTAGAACTCCCAAATGTATTTCCTTTTAAAAAAAATCAACAATAAATCACTCTTTTATTTCCTTCTGTTACATGCTATTAGCCTTGCCAATATGAGATGCTTTCTTGAAGCAACTGAGACAGCAGTTCATTTGAAGCCTCCATTAAAAATATATTTCCCCACGACACTCTTTCCAGTCCACCCAGTTAGAGAGTTTCTTTCTATGTCCAACTTTCCATCTGGATTCAGAGCATTCTGAAAAATCAGTTCTCACTCTTCCAGGGGTTAAATTTCTGCTAACAAATATGGACTATTTGATATGAAAACCATTATCATTTGATATGTCAAATAAAACATTTGTCAATCAAAAGTCTTTAAGCACTGGGCTATGTGACATTTACTCTTTTATAAACCGACAAAGTCCCTGGTGGCGTGCCTTTCTTCCTCTCATTTAAATAGTGGTAGGAGAACAAATCACACTTCAGGGCAAGTTGATAACTGCCAGTCACGATTTCTGCCTTGTTTACTATAATGAGCAGGGTAATAAATGCATCTGACCATTTCAGCTGGCATTTGCATAGATGAATGATTTGTCCAGTCAGTCGCTCTCCAGTGATTTGGGCCTTTTTGTCAGCACAAAGAGCATTCAGTCTCCCTGGAATTTACAGCAGCCAAGCTCTCATTAGCAAACATCCTTTACCATGAATGATTCAAATAATTACCACTGAAATAATAAACTGTTTCACAAAAACATTTTATTTGATGGCTCCAAACATCAACTTTTCTGAATTGTTGACATTCAAATAAGCCAGAGAGCTTTATTGTTGAGCAACAATGATCCCCTTGTAAAAGGGTGGGCATTGTTTTACCTCCAGCAGACCTTTAAACTTGGCCAGATATCAAATGTGTCCCTCAAACAGCCAGCCAACGTGCTGGATAATTGGAGGGCACGTACCAGATGGAGCTATAGTAAAACTGTATGTTCAGGCTCCCAACTAATTTTCACTAGATTTACTGAGGATATTGTGAGCGTAAAATTCCAGACTAATTAGCAGCAAGTTATCTCTTTGCTTCTACAGGAGTTTTGTAATTATTAAATGCTTCTGCTTCCACTGAGTGCTCAGTTCTGAATTCTCTTCTGTAACGGTATTCTAGTGCATAATTAAGTGTTATTTGATATAGTTTTGGAGTTCAATCAAATGAGCAAGCAACAATTATATCCCATTATGATCTCCTCTAGTGCCTGGCAATAGGAATGATGTCACTGTATTTTCAAACCCATAGCATGAGGGAAAAGGAATTTCCTGCTATCATTCTCCTTTACCCTTTTAGCATGCATAAATAGGAAAGTTTTATTAGTTAATTTAGAGTAAGGCGATTTACCAGAGGTTTTCATAGGCTGCAGGAATGTATTCAGTTTTCATTGCAGCATTGTTTGTATGGGTATGTGCATGAAATTATTATCTTAATATCAAGCAAACGGGATTCAATTGCACATTTTATGCTTCTCTTAACTGTAGGGAAACGAAATAGAACAACAGAAGGGGGAAATATTTTACTCATTGTAGCACATTCTTCATTGCATGATTTCACTTTCACATTATGGTTGGGTAGGTAACAGTAATCTCAAACAGCCTAATACCTGAGACCTTGATATTCAGAAATAGAATAACTGAGCCCTGATTTTCATTTACAGGCCCTTTATATTCCTCTGGCAAGATAAATTTCTTCTGCTGCCAAGGAGAGGTAGGGAGCTCTTAAAATATGTGAAAGTCAGGCCAGTAAAATTAAATACATTGGAACACATGACTTTTATTTGCAAGCCATAAAGCATACTCACTAAGATATAATGTCTAATAATTGTCCTGAGTCAGGAAGGCAAATACTTAGAACTCAGCTTCTCATACTTAAGTATTTGCAATAGGATGAACAAAATCTGCCTCATTTTCATGCATCCAAGGGTAATTGCCCATTACAACATCCAAATTTGGGACTCTATATTCTATTGAAGCATCAAGTTTGTGAACTGAATCCAAGTGAACAAAGTTACTTAGATAAATTGAACACCATCTTTGAGCTTTCCAAATTTGTCCATGGGCATTTCTTCTTCATTCAGCCAAGACCATTCAAGTTCAGTCTAATTCAGTTATTTTTTATTTCCCCCAGCTTTTTCTCTAATCTATAGTCAGTACCTAGTTTAAATAGACTATTTCTCATCCTCTTTTTTTACTTTTAAGGTGCAATATCAGAAGGAAATTAAGAAGTCCTTTAATAATTCACTTTTGACAGATATATAGGGGGGTCTTTGTCTAAATTTCTATTCCATTTTGGTGTTGATAGAGCTAAGGAACAAATAGAATTGGCCAGAGCTATTTACAGATGACTAGGTGTGAAGAATACTTTCTACACTTTCTGGTAGTCCCATGTTCTTACAGTCTGAGAGGAGCTTGCTCTCTTGCAATGAAGAAGAGTAAAAACTCAGTTAAAAGCAATGCTGCTTTCTAGAGCAGTCCACTGAGCACATCAGCAGGAGGAGAACCCGAATGCTCATATTTAACTCAATTTGCTTTCTGTAGTCTTCTGTAGTAAATTGTTGACATTTACCATCCTGCCAGTGTAGCACAGGTGAATGTTCTGTTTCTGTCACCACCAAGCTAGACTTTAAAGCTGAGTTAATTAATGACCTATTTAATCTCAAACTTCAGACATCTATTAAACATCACCACAGTTTAAACAGCAGTAAAAAAATGTCCCGTTTCAAAGAGAACAAAAACCCCCAGAATTTAGACCAAAATTTAGAGTGGGATTCAGCTCCAGATAATAGGTGTGTAGGATGCAGGTATGTAAGCTCTCATCTGAGTAAGTTAAGACCTTGTCAATACTGTCAGAGGACCACAGAGAACAAAGTCAAGTCTCTGTTGACTGTAAAAAGTAGAACTCCACAGGTTACAAAGGAAGATGAGATATCTTGTTCACCTGTAAAGAATTCCATGTGGACACCTAAGTGTCAGTTTAGTTACCTAAATATAGGCACTTTGTGTTGCTCGAAATATTCTGTGGAATCTAAGTAATCTGCACAGGGCTATGAACAATTTCCACACCTCTGGAACAGCAGCTGGAGGCTTAGTACAAGCAGAATACCACTAAGACTCATGTCTGACACTCTAAAAAAAAGTATCTTAATCCTTCCTCAGGCCTACAAATCCATAAATACTGAAAATTCTAGCTGTGACAAAACTGGAGCACCCTGAGTAGAGTTGATTTTAGACAGAGGCAGAATAGGTGCCTGCCTAATGCTGCACGCTGCTGCTGGCAGGAAAGCAGCATGCAAAGGATGCATATTTCTCATTTACATATTCCTCAGCTTCTTGGGAACATGGTGCCTTCCTCATATATCCCCAGACAACCTCCACTGCTGCTCCCATTTCTACCTGGTATTAGCAGAATACAAGGTATGGTCCCAGTACAAAAGCTATTTATAGAAAGAGGTTGTATTTTATTTTTCCAGATCACCTTGTTGTGCTTACACTAACAACATGATTTATCTAATCAAGGCATTACAATTTCTTGTAATTGTAAAATGCAGCTGCAGTTTATTAGTAAAATATTTTTAAAATTTCTTACATATGTTTTTCTTTCTAATTAGGAGACTTCCTGCACTATATCTGACTGTTGTTTGCTTTTACAACAGACAAACATAGTAATATTAAGCAAGCCTAGTGAAATGAGTAAATCAGGCCAGTAGTAGTAGTGCAAGTGCCATCAGTAAGCACTGGGATGTGTATTATAAGAAGTTTCTTCAGATCACCTTCTGTATAACCCTTCATTGTGACAGGAAAATCCCAACTAACATGCATGTAACAGAAAAATACCACTTTTTTTCTTTTTTCTTTTTTTTTTTTAAATCCACTGCTGTGGCCAGGTTTCAACTGGTAATTTAAAACTCTAAACACAGAAGGATTTCTGTAAATGTGTTTCATTTGCAGTTATATTATCTGTAGCAAAATTGGCTACTAAAAAATGGACTTGCAAAGTACCCAAAAGCTGTCAATCTGTAACTGTTGTTTTTTGAGTTTAATTCAGACTAAGTCATATTTTAGTGAAGCAGACCCTAAATTTATCATGAGCAAATAATTTTCTGTCCCATGTAAAAGAGATTGTTCTGAATATGGAAATGTTACATTTCAAAATGCCTACCAAAATTTTTATATGACTTCTCAAATAGAAATAAATATCAATTTATTTTAAGCCATTTCCTATCCTTTTAATTTACTAGTGAGGTTCTTCTTGAGAAGAACCAGTTATATGGCAAAAGTAAACTTTTCATTAGAACTATCCCGTATTATAATATTCCCAGTTTCAGACAGGCAAACAAACTTAACTAACAAAATTAGTTTTCAGTGATATATAGGGTGAGTTAGGAGTTTAATGTGACATACATAGTTCATATTGCAGTAAATGCTAGAATGACTTAAGGTATAGACTATTGCACAGAATGTGAAGAATTTCAAAGTAATGCAACTTCAGAGTTATGCTCCAGTTAGCCCATTGTATTATACCCCAGTCTGTGTCTGGCTGTACTGGATGTGCATACTTTTATCAGCGTGGTCTTTTCCTGAACACCTTGGCCCTTCTTTGGCAGTATATTTAGAAACTGTCTGAGTTAGGA